AAAGTGGCTAGGGAAAGAGAAAATGTTTATCATGAAGGTGTATTTACTTAGAAGGTGTATATCCCTATTATTTTTATTTTAAATTAATTGACAGAATATTCAAGTTTAAAAGGTCGAAGGATTTTTTTGGTGTTTAAGATTTAGAGGATACAACATTTTCCTAAATAAAAACATACGGTGAAAAACAATTGTTCCTTATCAAGAAAATTGTGTAAAACAAAAGGAATGTTGTCTAGTTGAACTCATGTCTTAATTATCTACTTGATACAATTATATCCCTGCAAAAATTCCTTAACTATAATTTTATCATATGGACCTCGTTTTAATATTACACCCTTTATCCACTTTAAAAGCAGACATCTAAAAAGGACTACTCCCATCATCACCGGGATATGGATGTTTCTTATAAAAAAATAGTGTGGAGAGTTATTTTACATAGCTATTGTTGCACCATTCTAAAAAAGAAAGAGTTTCTACCAATGAAAGCAATTATTCACGACTAGGATTGCACCTTGATAAAATCCAGCAACTTAATAAAAACAAACGATCTTGAGAAAAAACAATTTTGTTACGCAATAACCACATGGACCATGTCACCGCATGCCAAATTAAAGACCAAATATTGTTTTCCTTTTCTGCCTCTAATTATCCTGTCATGTTGAGTAAAGTGTTCCATACTAATGTGTGTTAGAACAACATTAAAACTAGCCCATCATATATATATATATTCAAATTCGCATAGACACTAAATAGTTAAAAAAAAATAAATGATTGATTTATCTTGTTATTCACAGAAAGAATATAATGTGAGACTTGCATCATTCAACACATATATTGAATAAAGTTTTTATAATGTGAGACTTGCATCATTCAACACTTATATATTGAATAAAGTTTTTTTTTTATTATTGATAATCTATTCAATCATGATCTCTAAGAAAAAGCCTTTATTTTATTTAATATTAGATATCTCTACAACTTTTTAAACTTTATTGAACTATTAGTGTAAATTTGTGGAGATTGCACCTGATTGACAATAAAATTATATGCTGATTTTGTTGTAAAAGTCTTGTTGTTTTCCATATCCTTACCTAGTATATAGTTTTGTCCTTGCTTATTAATTGAATGGTAATTTTTTCTCCCAAATGAAAATCTCTTTTCTTAATGACCATCTTCACTTTCAAATATTTTCTGCCCACTCCCTAATTTTGCAATATTTACATCCTTATTTTGAGACAAAAGGAAAAGTCTTGGAAATGCATCATTGAGAGAAATAGACCCTAACCAAGTGTCATGCCAAAACTTAATTTTTTTCTCCATTTCTCACTTTCCTTCTCACATTGCTAGAGAGCCGCATTGGAGTAATATTAGGCTAACTTTCTAATTTGGTTGAGTTCGACCACCACCATGATGTTGATTTGTAGTTCGTATTTTTTGAGGTGGTATCCTTGTTCAATGACCCATATCTTTGGTTAAGTATTTTGTACCAAGCTGCATTTTTATCATTGGGATATTTCCATTTCCACTTTGCCAATAAGTTGGGGTTAAATATTTCTAGATTCTCCACTCCCAAATCACCCTTCTCCTTTGGTAGACAAACTGTTTCCCATCTCACCCAAGCAATTTTATTGTTTCTTCTACTCCACCTCATAGGAAAGAATGTTGAATTAAAAAAATTAGTGTTTACTCACATAATAAAAGATATTTTTAGTAATATATTTTAATAAAATTAAAATATAGTATAAAATAAGATTTTTTGACAAAAAAAAACAAGGCTATGCAGTATTTGACAAAAACTGTTTTGTATGAATAATATTTACCTTTTAGTATTTTTTTTCTTAATTGTAATTTTCATCTCTAAACTTTTGTTTTTCTTAATTTTGTTCTCAATAATTTATTTTTCATGAATTATCTCTCTAAATTTTGTTATTTTAGTATTGTTTATTAAAATACTAATAGAGTGTTTATATGATATGTTTAGTATGGTTTTTATAATAATTTTTGGGGAGTGATGTAACTTTATTTAAAATAAAATAAAATAGTCACAAATAATAATTGCATTTTGTGTTTGATATGTATATTGTTTGAGCAAACTTTTCTCTGAACAATTTTTCTCATAAATTATACTATTAAACTTTAATAGTGTGTTTGGATGGAGAATTTAAATGGAGTAATTCATTTATTTGAAGAATTTTAAATTCTTTGAGGTGAAATACCTTGTTTGGATGAGGAATTTATAAGGAATTTGAAATTCAAGCATTTGTGAAATTCCTTGAAATAGTAGAATTTCAAATTCTCCCAAAAGAGTAAGAATTTGAAATTCCTCATATTTTTTTCTTCTTATTTCACTTATATATTTTATCTTATCTCTTATCTCTTCATGTTTTTAATTATTGAATATTCAAAAATATTTTTAAAATTATTAAATATTATCTAATATTAATTTTTAAAATTATTAAATATTTAAAAATTAGCAAATATTTGTTTTTATAAAATTTAATTTAAAAATCTCAACATATAAATATATTTTTAAAATCAATTTTATCATGATAGAATCAAATTATCATATCCAACCTAACAATTTAAAATTTGAAAAATTTGAATTGACTTATCCAAACAAAATATTTTAAGAATGATAGAAATTGAAATCAAAGTAATTCAAATACCAAGAAACTGAACTGAACTGAACTTATAAAAACTATACTGAACTTAAAAGTAGTTCATATGAACTGAACTAAACTAAATATTAGTTCAGACGAACTGAACTGAACTATTCTTTTGTGTCATTGAACTGAACTGAACTATACTATAAAAACTTGAACTGAACTGCAATTTAAACTGCACTAAACTGTTATGATATTTTGAATTGAACAATTTTGACTCATTTATCTATCAAAATAGGACACATTTGTCAACTTTACTTTATTTTCCATTTTATTTAAATTTTTCAAAGGAAAAAAATATAAAATTAAGTCAAACAAACTCAGTGAATTTTAAGCCTAAAAATAAGTAGTTCAACATAGCTCAATTGATCCGTTAAGTTCAACAAAATTGATACAATTTTTTTTCAAATCACTTTTTTTCTAAAATTTTGGTTATTAAACTATCGAGTTAATCTATTAAGACATAACATGTTAAACACATTTAATTTTTATTTTTTTTATAAAAATAGTTCAATTTTTATAATTTAGTTCAGTTTTTATAGTTCAGTACAGTTCAACTTTACAACAGTTCAGTTCAGTTCAGTTTTTTTTGCCCACCCCTAATTTTGTCATATATGTCACATTAACACTTCGCTAGTATTTTGATGAATAACTTATCGAGGACACAAGTTGCCATAGTTTCAAATCTTAAAAGTATAATTTAAGAGCAAAATTACTAAGAATGAAATTCGATAGAAAGTGAAAGTTTGAAGTTATAAAATACACTTAAACCTTTTTTTTATAATTAAATTATTAGTATAAAATATTTTTTTTTACTTTGATAACTAATTTATCATTCATAAAACTTAAATCCAAGATTTTAATCATATATATATATATA